ACAAGATTACAAGATTTCTGAGCCCTTATCAGAAAACCATATAAACCAACGCAAAGAATATTTTTATTTTAAAAACAAACCAAAACAAACAACACATTTAAAATGTCTAACATTAACCTTAACTCACATTGAAAAATAAAAGCACAGTCCTCAGAAAGTTTTAATCTGGATTAATCTTTTATGGATTGGATCATACTCCATCTGCTGCTACTTCAGAAAAAACCTAGCTGGTCAGTTATCATATCTACTATAAGGCCACCCTCCTTTACAAAACTTAAAGGTAAACTCTTTCTTACACAGAACTTACCAATGGCCTTTGTGTAATGTCTGGCTCCAAGTAACAGCTCTGGAGCTCTGTACCAGAATGTCACTACAACTGGATCCAAGTCTGCCAATGGCTTCAAAGGTGAGTTGAACAATCTTGCAAAACCCATATCAGCTAGCGGGGGGGGGGCAGAAAAGAATATTTTAATAAAGAAAATTTTAATACAAATAAACCAGAATTTAACAGTATTGCCAAAAAGCAATTATAAGTACAGCTCAAAAACAGTAAAATTTACAAATCGAAATTTATAAGAAAACAACAAGTTACTCCTAACAATACTGGGCCAATTTTATCTAAGGCTAAATTCCACTTACTTCATTTATAAGACTATGAAGGATGACGTTTGACTTTTAAGTGTTTTCATCATGATATTGTAAAACTTTACAAAACACAGATGCCTGTTTATTTAAATAGAACTGTAACAGAAACCTGGTTAACTAAAGTCAATAGTAGTAGGTCTCTAATGTACATTTTCTCTTTTATTTTTATATATGTTCACAAAACTGTGAGCTCTTGTGACTGCTATATATTTACCCAAAGTGCAAAATCAAAACGACTGCAGTGTAGATTGTTTTGCATTATTTTTCGAAGTATGCCTCCTACTTGATTTGGAGGAACGAACTCCAGAATCAGGAAAAAGTTCTTAACTGGGAATTAATGAAATCAGTGAGTGTATACTGTTACAGAAGTGTATTTTAAATGTAAGCATTCATTTTATATAACTCAAAAATTCTCTCTAGAAACAACCTTGTAAGTAACATTAATAAATGCTAGACGGGAAATTACAACATTTGGGTGTATATTCAAACCCAGACATTTTAATCCAAGTCTGAAACTTATCTTTCACATAACTTCACCTAAATCTTTCTGCTTCCAAAGTTATGAAATGCCAAGTATAATTTTCTTGCAGTCACCCATACTAATACAAGCATATGAATCAAAAACGGTTAGCTGAACATTTTCAAATACAACAAAAGTCGATGAATAGAAAAGAGGTTCCAGTATATTACTTCTTTCTTGATGACTGCCACATGCTTTCTTAAAGAAAATTTATATCCACATGACTAAGGCTTATGATCTGCACAGGTAATTAGATTTTGGTTAAAGGCCATCACAGTTACATGTGTTTCCCACCTTGACGCCGAATAGCCTTTTGCATAGCAAACCTTTGGACCTCTACAAACATGTCCATTGATGTTATTTATATAAAATTAAGAAAGAACAAATACAATTTATAAGTAACAATGTTATACTAACTAATCATAGTAGAAGTCAAAAGAACCCTGGCCATAGCTATTGTTCTATGTGCTTATTACTTTCTTGTTTCTTACAGATGCTTTTATCTCACCAGATGTCCTTGGCAAGCTTTATATACATCTACTAATATGTCTGGAATCTCTTAAGCTTGTAAACTCAGTGAAAGAAATTTAAAATTGAACTAGATGTTGTGCATACATACAGTCAAAGAATAATGAAGATTTGTTTCTATCTTACACTGAAGATGCAATTTTTTAAGTAATTCCATAGGTGTGCAATGACATTTTCTCAAAATGTTTACCTATTTTGACTCTTCCTCTTTCGGGACCTTCGCCCATTACCAGAATGTTTGCTGGTTTCTGGAAAACAAAACAAAAAGCAGAATATTTAGTTGACCAGCCTTTGATGATTATCTTCAAGAACAAAAAAAAAAGGTACATTTATTTTATAATGAAAACATTTCTATAAATACTCTTACAAGTCTAAAATTACCATACCTTTATGTTTTGCTGACATTTAGTTTTTATCCCTAGTTACCAATTTCACAATTAGAAAAATAATAAAGTACTTTGACATTTCACAGTAAGAAATGCAATCATTGATTAAATTTGCATTTCCATTTTTACCAGAATGATCACGTTCATTGGCGAGATTTTCTTCTACAGGAAAAGTTTATACCAGGCTAACGTTTATGCTACACGTCAATAATCTGGCAAGACCTACTTTTGCTGTATAACTTACTGAAAATTATGCCAAGTCTTGGTATGCAAATGCATAGATGAGTTTCTTTTGTTGCCATCATATTACCATCTACATCCCCATCTACCATTTTACTGTCAATATTACCATCATATTACCATCTACATTTTTAGAGCCATGCTTGTTTTTAGCGTATGAATGGCAAAAATCACATCGGCAAAAGCATTTTTTTCCACAAAGTAACTTGATTTCATGCTATGAGAATTCACTTAAAAGAGGAATCTACACAGACAGCTATATCCACAAGCTTTTGACAGTGTAGACAGCAGCTTTACAAGTAGAACAAAATCTTTATAGGCATTTTATGCAATCTGCAGTTGTTCATAACCAGCCGCTTGTGAACACCATATAAAATCTGCACATGACATCACAGCAATTGTTCTGCAATTAGGATCTAGGTTCCCTCAGACATCAACAATCATTCTTTGGAAGCTTTTCCCCTATTGTGTTAACAGCTGTAAAGAAGTAAACAAGATTGAAAACATTAAGTGATTTGAATGAAGAGATGCGTAACAAAGTTTCAAAGCAGAATTTTTGGAAGGTTCACCCGAACATTAATTATATTTAAAACCCCTAATGCCTGAAGATGTCTGCTCGAGCAGGATTTCTTCAAGAATCTGAAAGAGATGTCCAGAAAGCCAACATCAGAATCTCACTTAATTTCTCAGTTCCTAATGCTTGTCACTATTTACCTGAAATGAGACACTCAAACTAGGGTTACTAATTTGGCTCAAAATTGCAAATCCTTAGCTTTTTTGAAAAAACCAAACCAATCCACAAAAAAAAGCACTACTTCACCTATTCTTTCTCCTTCCCCCCAGGAAGCTGTCTCCCTTCCCACCTCACCCCCAGTGCTAGACATTGCTTCTGCCCTGGCTCCAGCCACAGGTTCTTTCCAACCCTGTTCCAGAAGCCGTTGCCTCTTTTACTCCTCCTTTTTTAATCTCAGGATAATTCTCCATACTACCCCTGACTTCTCATTCCCCAACATATTTTTGGAACACTTCAAGAGGGAATATGCACTCCCTTCTTGGATAATGCAATAGCTATTTTAATTGATCTTGAGTAAACGCTTACCAGCAAATCTAGGAAAGATAATGATGATGCTTGCTCTTAGCTAATATTTAATGATAATGAAATCAACACTTCAAGGCAACTGGTCAAACTCTGGTTTTACATTTATGTATTATGCTGAATTGAATATTCTGGAGAACAGAACAATCCCATTCTGCATATTCAGAAACCAGGCAGCAAGGGAAGCACGCAAGTTCGCACTACACTTTACCTCTGTTAGAAATCACATAGCCAAAATTGTCCCGAGACAGAAAAATTCCAGTTTCCTTGTCCGAATTCTTCCCTAAAATCCTGCCTAGCAACTTTGATTGAGAGTTGAGTATGAATCAGAAAAACTTCAATAGACCTTTACATTCAGGATTGGATTTTAGGCACTATAAAATGTTTTATTTGTCATGTAAACAGAGCTGGTAAAATGTAGTTACTGCACTGATTTCTAGGTTAGTTTTCTTCTATAGAAGAATTATGTTGTAAGAGATAAACTGTATAACACCAGGAGATGTACTAAGACAAAATTTAAAATCTAAGCAGATACAACAGGACTCTCAAAACAAAACATCTCGTATTCATATTTTACCTGTAACATTCCAAGATTCTTCAAGCAGCAATGTCTTCATAGAAAACAGTACTATTTTATCTGCTGACATAAACCACAATATTCACAGAATGGTTCAGGTTGGAAAGGACCTCTGGAGATCAAGTGCAACCCCCCTGCTCAAAGCAGGGTCAACTACAGCAGATTGCTCAGGCCAGAGTCCAGTTGGGTTTTAAACATCTCCAGGGATGGAGACTCCAGAGTCTCTTGTGAAACCTCTTCCAGTGTCTGACCACTCTCACAGTTAAAAAAAGGTTTCTTCGTACATTTAATTTATGCCCATTGCCTCTTGTCCTGTCACTTAATAGCACTGAGAAGAGTCTGGCTCAGTTTTCTTTGCTCCCGCTTATCCAGGTATGTATACACATTGGTAAGATCCCGCTCGAGCCTTCTCTTCTTGAGGCTGAACAGCCCCAGCTCCCCCAGCCTCCGAAAGACATCCCAAACCTCTAAGCAACCTAGTGACCCTACACATACAGGGGATACACTAGGTTAGAATCTATGGAAGCAAGGAACTTGTCCATTTATGTATTTTTAAGCCAGAATGTTTTGAAGAGATGTTGTTCCATTTAAAATTTAAATCTGTACTAATATTTAATCCACTGAGGATCAGAACCCTGCTGCTCAGGCAGCCAGCAGAGAAGCACGCTGATTTATAAACTTACCAGATTACATATCCATTAGCTCTTGTCAATCTCTCTATCTGAGAGAGTCGGGGCGGGGGGGGGCAGGTAGGGGGGAGAAGAGAGAGGGAAAACAGAAAAGGAATAAAGTGTGAAACAATTGAAAACTTAGTCTTATTTCCAAAAGAGCAAGTGCTTCTCCTGAGGCGCCACCACCACTGTAGACGACAGGCATTTCACGGATGGCATCTTGATGCCTGCAGGATCCCCACCGATACGCAGAGCGCTGTCTCAATAACAGCTCCCATTGCAGCAGCTTACTGCAAGGTGAGAAGTCTTCATTCAAGCCTGCTCCTTAAGTCAGAAGAACACACCTGAACTTGCTTCTTATTTCCCACACAAGCAAATTACTGCTTGGTTATCAGCTACTGAAAAGATAAGAACTTTCTGAGTTTCTCTTGCTAATCAGAGCTCTTCTGGTTAGGAAAGCATTTTCAACTGTGTGTGCTGAACCAGTCAAAGAGTAACACTAACCTGATAGGACCCATCTTTCTGAGATGAGACAAATGATATCCAGCTCCTGTGACCATGAAATTTTATTTCATAAAAATAAACAGCTTCAGAGTAGCTTAAAAGATAGGTCATGTGTTTTGCAGTTGTTTCATGTAATAATGGCTTGAACACTGTAAAGTAAAACTCCTCACCTCCCCCGAGTCTTCATGATACACAAACCACGCTGAGAGCAACCCAACCCTCATGGAGCAGGGGTGCTTCCTCAGCGCCTTAGCTAAATGAGCGGTACCAAGGCAGAGTGGCAGAACTTCAGGTGCTCAAGCATGGAGGAAAGACTTTGGGTTATTTTGACATCAGAGATCCTCAGGAAAGTAGGTAATGAACGTTTCCATCATGAGGTAAGTGAGAGGATTGCTAAAGGGAATGCAAACAACTTCTGCTTTTTGGAGAAGGGAGAACATGTTAGTCTAATCTCTGGATATGTAGGATTTCAAGTATAAAACATTTTACTCTGAGATAGTCACTTTATAGTCTACAATAGAATTACAGTCTAGTATAGTACAGTTACTGGACAGCTGCAAAAATCAGATTAAAAAGTGGGAATCAGAGAAATTAAAAAGTCCCATACCTCATGTATGTTCAGGCTACGTGCAAGTTATAAGCACTACTCTAGCTCCTGAAACAAATCTTACTGCTGTCCGCATGATGAAGAAAAGAGGGGTTTAGGTGGAAGAAAACATGACGGTCTAAGCAGCTAAGAGACCAAAACCTGAACATACTTAGAGTAAACCACGTCTCTTTCCGAGAGGACAGAATTTTATTCAAGAAAGTTTGAGAAGCTCTGTTTAAAATTATTAACTAACTTCGTAGTAAAGGGTGAGGTAACTCAACAAGGACTATGTTTCTGAGCCAGTGACATCCCAATTAATACCCTTCTCTATTTTCTTCAAACTCTCCCCCTGCTGAGAACACAAAACACCAGCTGGGAAGCAAAGTGATGCTGCTGCGTCTCCACCTATCTAGTTGCTATAGAAACAACAGAAATAGTAAGAGTTAGGAGTCTCACATTTAAGATCAGCTAGAAAAATGAACCGAGAAATCCCCACTGAGAAAAGCAGTTGAGGTTTGACTGTCTAAAGAACATCTGCAAAGGAGCAAAGTCAACAGCAACAAACAACTGGAGCAAAACCCTGAAATACCTGCAAAAAGGGATGTAGAAGGCAATAATTTAATGGTTTCTTTACAAGTAATAAGCATGGATAATGTATTTACTTTTCTACATCAGTGGGAGAGCAGGAATAAAGCTATAACAGATCTTGGTGGGACAGAAGTGGAAATGTTGGGCTAACAAGTATGTTTTAATAAATAGAAGCATCATGAATGGGATTAATATGGACATCCACATTATCTTAATCAATATGCTTCCTATTTAAATATTTAGACAGTAGATGAGAACAAAGGTTGAAGGAAAAGAAACCATCTATGGTTTTGAAAGAGCATAACAGGTCAAAACAGGAACAACAGCCTAACAATAGATGGCAATACTTAGTTTTAATGGTTATTGTTGTTATCTCCTCAACTACAGCGGTGACACAATTCTTAAGAGATTTGGTGCAGAATTACATTCCTGTGAGAAAACGTCCATAGGGACATACCACTTTCCATACACCATTCTTTATTGTTTATATCCAAACAAATGTGTTTCTCTTTTGGAATGTATCATTGGACAAAGAATAATCTGAAATTAAGAGGCTTCTATTGTAAAAGATATTGCAAGTCTTTTAGATAAAAGCTC